GTCAGCACAACGTCATGGGCCGAAGGGCCTGTACTGTGCTGTACTGTTGTATGTTCTTAACTCTTCATCTCCAGGATCATTCTTGTAAACCCTTCTCTGGACTCCATCCAGAGCCAGCACATGCTTTCTTAGATAAGGGTCCAAAACTGCTCAATGTATCCCAAATGCAATCTGACCAGAGCCCTATACAGCCTTAGCAGTACATCTCTGATCTTGAAATGAATGCTAACATTGCATTTGCCTTCCCAACTGCTCCTGAACCTGCATGTTAACCTTAAGAGAATTCTGAACAAGGTGTCCCAAGTCCTTTTGTGCTTCAGATTCCTGAAGTCTTTCCTTGTTTAGAAAATAGTCTATGCCTCTTCTTTCTACCAAAGTACACTTTCCCACATTGTACTCCATGTGCCACTTCTTTGCCGACTTTCCTAGCCTGTTCTAGTCCTTCTGCAACCTCCCTGGTTCCTCAACACTACCTGTCCCCCAGCTATCTTTGTGTCATCTGCAAGCTTAGCAACAATACCGTCAGTTCTTTCATCCAGATCATTAACATGTAACTTGTTGTGATCCCAACAAGTATACCTATGGAACACTAGTCACCAGTTTTCTTCCTGAAAAAGACCCCTCCACCCTTACTCTCTGTTTTCTGCCAGTCACTCAATCCTCGATACCTGTAAGTCCTACCCCTAATACCATGGCTATCATTTAGCAGCCTCCTGTGCGGGACCTTGTCAAAGGCCTTTTCGAAATCCAAATAGATCACATCCACTGGCTCTCCTTTATCTAACTTGCCTGTTACCTCCTCAAAGTATTCTGACCGATTTGACAGGTGTGATCTCTCCTTGATGAAGCTGTGCTGACTCCGCCCTATTTTACTGTGCAATTCCTCGTACTCCTTAATAATGAACTCTCAACTTTTACCAACGGTCATGGTCAGGCTACCTCCTTCCTTTCTTAATCTGGAGGTTACATTAGCCATTTTCCAGTCCTCTGGGACCCTCCCTGACGCACGTGATTTCTGGAAGATAAACACCAATGCCCGTAAAACCCCCCAGCTATTTCCTTCAGAACTCTTGGGGGGGGGTCCAGATGATTTATCCATCTTTAGACCTTTGAGCTTCCCCATCACCCCTTCTTTAGTGACAGCCACTGCATTCACCTCTTCCCCCGACTTTTGAATTTCTGACATGCAGCAGGAATTTTCCGCTGTCAAAACTGATGCAAGGTATTGATTCAGTTACTCCACCATTTCTTTATTTCCATTACTACTTCTCCACCCTTATTTTCCAGTGGTCCTATGTCCGCTTTTGCTTCTCTCTTACCTTCTATTTATCTAAAACAAACTATTGCAGTCTTCCTTTATTTTACTGGCTAGCTTACTCTCATACTTCCCCCTTATTGCTTTTTAAGTTATCCTCTGCTGGCTTTTAAAGGCTTCCAATTCCTCTGGCTTCCCACTAATCTTCATTGTAGCAGATACTTTTTTCTTTTGCTTTTATGCTGTCCCTGACTTCCCTTGTTAGCCATGGTTATCTCTTTCTCCCCTTAGTATGGTTCTTCTTCCTTGGGATGAATTTCTGCTGTGCCTTGTGAATTGCCCCCAGAAACTCTTACCATTACTGCTGTATCATCTTCTCTGCTGGGCTCCCCTTTCAAGCTTCTCCCTCTCGAACCGCAAGTGAATTCTATCATATTACAGTTACTACCTCCTAGTTTTCCTTAGTCTTATGTTCCCCAATCAAGTCTGCCTCATCGTACGTCATCAAAACCAGAAATGCCTGTTCTCTAGTGGGCTCTACCACAAGCTGCTCTAAAAAATCATCTCATAGACATTCCACAAGTTCCTTTTCTTGAGAATCCCAGGTGTTGCATTTTGGTAAGACAAACAAGGGCAGGACTTATACAGTTAATGGCAGAGCCCTGGGGAGTGTTGTCAAACAGAAAGACCTAAGTGTCCACGTATATAGTTCCTTGAAAGTTGTGTCACAGGTAGACAGATTGGTAAAAAGGTGTTTGCACACTTGCTTTCATTGCTCAGAGCATTGAATTGGGACATCATGTTGCGGTTGTACAGGACATTGTGAGGCCACTTTTGGAGTGCTCTGTACAGTTCTGGTCGCCCTGCTATAGGAAGGATATATTAAACTGGAAAGAGTGCAGAAAAGATTTCCAAGGATGTTACTGGGACCAGAGGGATTCAGTTATAAGAGAAGGCTGGATAGGCTGGGACATTGTTCACTAGAGCGTAGAAGGTTGAGAGGTGACCTTGCAGAGATTTATAAAATCTTGAGGGGCATAAATGAAGTAAATACCAAAGGGAGTTCAAAACTGGACAGCATAATTTTAAGGTGAGAAGTGTAAGATTAAAAAGGGACTTGAGGGGCAATATTTTCACACAGAAGGTGGTTCGTATGTGGAATGAACTGCCAGAGGATGTGGGTGGCTGCAGGTACAGTTACAACATTTAAACAATCCTTGGACAGGCACATGAATAGGAAAGGTTTGGAGGGATATGGGCCAAACACAGGCAAATGGAACTAGGTTGGTTTAGGAACCCTGGTCAGCGTGGACAAGTTGGACCAAATGGTCTAACTCTGTGCTGTATGACTCAATGAGTTCCACAACCAACCTGATTTACCCAGTCCACCTGCATATTGGAGTCCTCCATGATTACTATTGTCTTTCTTACATGTCTTTTCTATCTCCTATTTTATTTTCTTCCCCTCAATCTGACTACTGCTTGGAGAGTTGTACACAATGCCCAACAGTGTCTTTTTATCTTTTACAGTTCCTCAACTCTACCCACACAGATTCTATGCCTTCTGACTCTAAGTCACTTTTTGCTATTGAAGAAATTTCATTTCTTACTAACAAGGTAATCCTGCCCTCTCTGCCCATCTGCCTTTCCTCTTAATAGGACGCGTACTATTGGATATTTAGTTCCCAGCCCTGATCCCCTGCAACCACATCTCTATGATACCCACAATATCGTACCTACCAATTTCAGTCTGTGCTACAAGCTCATTTACTTTGTTTCGTATACTCCGTGCATTTAAATACAGGACCCTCAGTCTTGCATTGACCATCAGCCTCCTCATTTTTGTCCACATATCTGCTGTGCCTGAAGTTAAATTCCTGACCCTTTCCGTACTGTCTGACCTAATATTTGTTCTAGAAAATTTAATAACCTCTGCTGAGCCCTCACTGCCTTTAACTTTGTCCATAGATTTCCATGGAACTGATCCCACCCCTCACTATTTCGTTTAAAGCCCTATCCACAACCTTAGTTACGCAATTTGCCAAGGCTCTGGTCCCAGCATTATTCAAGTGGAAAAAACAGAAGTTGCTGGAAAAGCTCAGCAGGTCTGGCAGCATCTGTGAAGAAAAAAATTAGAGCATTTTCTTTACAGATGCTGCCAGACCTGCTGAGATTTTCCAGCAACTTCTGTTTTTGTTCCTGATTTATAGCATCCACAGTTCTTTCGGTTTTATTTATGATTTAGGTGGAGTCCGTCCCATAAGAACAGCTCCCTCCTTCCCCAGTACTGTGTCAGTGTCTCATGAATTTGAACCAATTTCTTCCACACCAATCTTTGAGCCACACGTTTACCTCTTTAAACTTGTTGACCTATGCCAATTTGCTTGTGGCTCAGGTAGTAATCTGGAAATTATTATCTTTTTGGTTTTGCTTTTATTTTAGCCCCTAGCTGCTCATATTCCTTCAGCAGAACCTCTTTCCTCTTTCTGCCTATATTGTTGGTACCTGTGTGGACCATGACAACTTTATCTTTCCCTCCCACTCTATGTTCCTCTACAGCCCGGAAGAGATATCCTGATGCTGGCACCAGGCAGGCAACACAGCCCTGACTCTACTTTTCCCCAATTACAACTACATTTCTCTTTCCTTCCCCCCCACCTCTTATGTGGCTTGCTGTACCAGAGTACTATGATCAGTTTGCTCATCCTCCTTACAGCCCCCAGTCTCATCCACATAAGGAGCAAGAATCTCAAAGCAGTTAGACAAGCTCAGGGGCTGAGTCCCCTTCACTATCTACTGGATTCCTCTACCTGCCTTGCTGCTAGTCACACCCTCCTGTCCCTGACCACTGACTAAATTTGAGCATGTTAATCTAAGGGATGTGACTGCCTTCTGAAATACAGCATCCAGGTAACTATCCCTCCCCCGATGTGTCACAGTGTTCGAAGCTCAGACTCCAGCTCATAACTCTGAGCCAGAGTTCCTCAAGCAATCAGCACATATTACAAATGCGGTCACTATGAACCTTAAAGGGGACCACCAGCTCCCACATCATACAGTTACAATACATCGATTTTTAAAACTTTTTTATTGGTCTTTTAGTTTATAGCCTCTAAATATTTCTCATCTTTATCTTCAAGCTGAAAGTAACCTATAATGGATAGTCACATTAGTAGCTATTGCCAACCAATGAACTTATGCTTTACCTTTGATGTTACTGCTTTGTGCTGGGTTCCTGAACCTGGCCTTCAATTTATCTTCTTAAAAAAAACTTACAAACTCTGAACCGAAAAAAAAGCAGACATAAAATACCTCTTCCCCTTTGCACTGAATTCCGACCTTACCTCCGAATTCCAACCTGATTTCCAAATTCCCCACATGATATATTCACTTGGGTGGTGTCTCACTCTGGATATGATCTCTCCTTCCTGTGAGACACAGCCCAAATTACTGAAGGCTGGCCCCACTCACTATTGCACTTTTTAACTAACTGGGAAATGAGAGTGCTATACACTGAGCCATCACTGACATTAGTGATGACTGATAATACCACAGCTGGACAACTCAAGTACCGTGCTAGTTTAGGTGCAACAAATGCATGCTAAAGACTCAATATTTTGCTGATGTTTCACAGAGCGTTACATGGTAATGGTTACAATAATATTGCAAAACCTATTGATTGTTCTTATGGGTAAACAATGGGGCAGTTAGCTTCCACATTTATTCTTGATATGTAGGAGAATTTCTACATAATAAAAATCTACTTTCCTTTCTCAGGTGGTGAATTCTGACCTTGTTTGTTTCAAGGAGTATGATAATAACATTGTAATGCAGGTAACAAAATTTAAATCAATTTTATTTCTTAAAAGGCATTTATTAAGTAACTCACAAGAAACTTGCAATGTGCCTATTGTCCAAAAGAATTATTTTTGGAGGATATAGACGATTAGTTTAAGTACATGGCACCTTTAAACTGTTTTGTATACATAAAAGGTGAGTGCATATAGCCTGTGTAGGCACTCATCTGAAGGGCTTTGCACGCTCTGTTCATACATGGCATTGCCTATATATTTCCATGATAATCTGGAGACCATTTATTGTGTATTTGATTTAACTTCAATATAAAAAGAAACTATCGTGAGCGAGTTCTTTGTACTTCACAGGGTGATGCACGATTGAAAGTCTATGTAGGATGTCCACCTGGAAACAGACTTGCTTTTGATATTTCCTACACACTTCAGTACAGCACCGAGCGAAATAACATATACTTTGACTGTATCGAACCTAATGTAGAAATTCCATGCTTCTATTATGAAATCCGTAAGTGTATTACATACAACAAACCATTTGCCGAAATAAATACTTATATTAAAAAGAGGGCTTACCATTTTGTAAAAATATTTCAAGCACTTTAAAAGCCATTTAGCTTTTTAGTTATGGAAAGAAAACTCTTCATTTGTTCATTCTGCACTTAAAAGTAGTGTACCTTTGTCATTTATGAAGGAAAGGAGAGGAATGCTCGTGTAACTTGCGCCGAAAAACATATCCTCTTTTGAGAGGTTTGCTCGACTACTAGTGAGTTGCCTGCATCTATTCTACTGTGTATTAGTACTATTCATTTTGTCTTTTTGCCTGAAACAAACCTTTGTTCTTTCACATTATTGTTAATTAACAATTCAACACAGCTGTGTTGTGAAATTGAGTCGAAGGTGTCTGGTTCATGTGTTATCAAGTTTTATTTGTTCACAGAACAATACAGCACAGGGATGGGCCCTTTGGCCCATGATGTTGTGCCAAACATAACGCCAAATTAAACTAAGATAACAAGGTGTACAGCATCAGAGGAGCAGGAAAGCTGACGTTTCGGGCCTAGACCCTTCTTCAGAAAAGAAGGGTCTAGGCCCGAAAC